AATCTAACATGGGTGCTGAAGAAGCGGCATTATGGGATGAAGTTTTTATGTTCGACTGGTATTCATTAGAAAACTTACAAGAAAAAATAACTGGACCTACTAAAGAATTGGATGAACTCTCAGAAAGCAATGATGAATTTTTTGAAAGCGATAACGAGATAGAAGAATTAGAGGAGGAATTTGAAATGCCAATACCTCTTCCTTCTGACGATGATATCGATTTTAAACATTGTACTGTTATTGATAATAATGATGATCTAAACATAATTCAAAGATGCAATAACATGGCCAATCTTAGTATAGTTCAATTAACTGGTATCTGGGAAATTGATACTTATGCCATCCAAGAAGTTGGTAATAATTCCTTAAATTTAAAAATTTGTTCTTGCCATTTTAACTACAACCAAAAAAATATACATAAAGACCTGAAATCTAAACTGTCATCTCAAAATAGCATGATAAACTTACATCATTGTCTCTTCTACAATAAATATAGGCATTTTTTCACAAGAGGTAAAACATGCCAATATCATACATGGCAAGTGTGTAGATGCACAATTCAGGCTCTATGTCATAGTCTATTTAGCTACCTGGCAATTTCTAAATATGATAAGTTGTTAAAAAGATTATATGAAGGTGATAGACCTCAATTCATTTACACAAACTGTTTTGTGAATCACGGAAGTCACTTATAGGTTTGACTAAAGGCACCCAAACCTCCAGTTTCATGTTTGGAATGAGGAGAACACAATGCTGATACTAAATCTGCTTTGAATATTTTTAGCAAATAGATCGAGCTGACTGCTAAATCTGAAAATGAAACTATACAAAGTAACTTGTTAAAAAAACTTGTCAAAATTTTTGATAATCTCATTGCTAACCCACACGAGACCAAAATACAAGTAATTCATCCTCTGCTTCTTCACTTCCAAGTCCTCTTCTAATAAAAATCATATTTGCAATTAAAAATATTAGAGTTAATGAAGAACAATTACCACTATTAGCAGAGCTTTTGGAAAAGAAATTGCTTACTCTGTATTACAAGAAAAATCTAAGCTAAAAAAAAGGCTACAGTTGCTTGAAAAGCCAGAATTCTTAGACAAATATGAAGATGTTATGCCATTACCTCTTATTAATTTTTTACTAGTTTAATTTCAGCAATAAAAGAAAAAAAAATGCAAGTGTTAGCAAGAAAATAAAAAGAAAGAAATATGCCTCTAATACAATTTGATAAAAAACAAATAACCTAAATTTCTTTTTTTTTTTCCATTATATTTACTATTGCCTTTCAGAATTGGAAAATATAGTTTATGCATGTTCTTTTTTCTCTTTGTTGATGGCCAAAAATGATAAGATCTTTATATCAAATTCTTTATGTGGTTCAGGCAGTGTTCTATATTAGAGATCACGAAACATGTATTCAAAAAAAAGAATGTCAGATGCAAAACTTTCAATAAGACTTAACCTAAATTCAAATGTTCTAAATATTGTAACCATAGACAATATTGATATGAAAAATAAAACTTTCCAGTATGGCAATATTTTTAATACAGTTTATGCTACTGTATATGCAACAGTATAAATAGTTTTTCAATTTCAATATTCTAAGCCTCTCAACTTGAGCAAAGAACCAATAGAAAATCAAAACCTTTTTGGTGTAAGTCCAATTATGGAAAAGTGGCAAACAGAAGTGAATATAGTCTTTAGCCAATTAGTTGAACAAGAATTGCAGTTTGATACCACTAACGTTGATGCAGCTATTAAAAAAAATATTACTTCAACATTATTTGAAGCATTGTAATTCTTGAGCCTGGCAAGACACCAAGCAAAAACGAGCATGTTCATGAGGCCGTTGATATGTATCTAGAGAATTTTGGTTATACAGAAAATAATGTATTAAACTTGGTGTATGATGAAGCAATTTACTGTCACATGAAAGATTACAAGAGCAAAGAGCAAATAGTGAATTGTATTTTAGGACAATGGCACACAAGCAAAGCAATGTATAGTGCACTAATCTTCGCCTTTTTCAGTTATGGACTTTTTGGCCTTGCTACACAGCTTGGTGTTAAATTTCTTGATAAACTTGAAAAAGTAGTTGACTATCGAGCAACATTTTGAGTATTAGAGCTCATATGGACAGCAGTAGGAGTTGCAATTTATAAATATATTAAAGAGAAAGGAATTTCTATTAATGATATTTCTAAGACAGACAATAATCTTCTAAAAGCATAGTATAATTTTTACCAGTGGGCAGAATATCTTAAATTACATAAGTATGGAATTTGGATGGCTAACTTTGATTTACAAATGCATAGCTTGATAGTATTTGCACCTTTATTTCCTATTACATGGAGATATAGATATGCTGAGTATGGCACAATTCATATCAGGCCTACATAGTAAGCCACAACTTCTTAGAGATCTTCACTTAGTATCCTCAATTAATTGAACACAAAAAGGGCATAATCTTGCTATCGATGAGGTGCTAAAAACATTTGGGGTAAAATTTTTAAAAGAAAATATGACTGGTCAAGCAGCAAATTTGGAAAATTTAAAACTAAATATCAAAGCAGCACAGGCTGAATATAATAGACTTAACTTGTTAATTTCGGAATTTACTAGAGATCACTCAATAAGCAAAAGCCTATGATCTATTAAAGACCACAAAGAAACTCTTTTAAAATTGATTGACAAACTCTTAATAGCATTTAATAGTCAGCAGCCAGAATCTCATGCTTTATTTACAGAAACTATACAATTAACAGATAATGGTTATCAACAGATATTTACCTATTATAAATTAGGAATTGAACAAATGAAAAATAATATTTGGGCATATGCAGTCTATACCTATCTAGGTAAGATAATTAGTTTACCAAATATAGATAAAGTAGATAGCAGTGCTGGATATAAAGGTACTAGTATTAAATATATGTCGGGTATGGACTGGTTAGATTAAATTTGATACTGTAAATGCAATTTGTACAGGAGTTCTTGTGATCTTCTATATCTAAAATGTCAATAAACTCTAGTCTTTGGACACTTAACAAAAAAATAAATAAAATAAAAAAAATAAAACAAAAAATAAAAAATAAAAAAATTTAAACAAGTTTTAGTGTCTATGAAGGCAACAAAAGATAAACGAGCAAGAGCAGAATCTAACAATATAACTGAGGAAGTGGTTAGTGAATCTGTACAACTAATAACATGGAAATTGAAGAGACAAATATAGACGTACCATCAGAATTCACAATTCAAGCATCATGCTTAAGAACACATTCAATGCACCGGCCCTCAACTGCTGAAGAAGAAATTCTAAAACAACTTGAAGACTATAAAGATTCTACTGTATTATCTGCAAATGTTCTTACTAATCTGGTTGAAAGTTTGTTGAACTATACTGAATATTGGACTCAAAAACAAATTTGGGATCAGTGGTATAACCGATATAAAAGAGCATAGAGTTATTATAATTTAGTGAATATATATATATATTTAAATTGTTTTTCAAAGTATTTCAAAAATATTAAATAAAAGCATATTAATAAAGTGATCCACTTACTATAAATTAGTTTTTTTTATTTTCTTCACTTTTTCATAATATACCTGCCTTTCAAAGTTTGATTTTGGCGAAAGCTCTTACTTAGAAGCATCTACTAATCCACTTTTTATGTTACGAACTTGAGAACCTAAATAGGATTTGACGAAAGTAGGTAAAATAATTGCCCACATTCAAGAAAGTGGTATTTCATAAGGAGTGGTTCGATCTTTACATTCTTTACATTACTTGATTCATAAAAACTTAAGCATCAATTTTATTTTAAGAACTGTTACATACTTAGACTAAGGTTTTCAAGAAAATTTTAAAAAAGTAATTTTGTAAATTTGTGCTACTTGTGAAAATTATATGATAAAAATTTAGATGTGACAAATCGGGTGACTGTTATTAAAATTATATTACGTAATATCTGCGAGTCCCCTAATAGGTAATATTATATTTAAATTTACTATATTCTACTATTAAAATTTCTTAAAACTTCAATTATTTAATTTTAATCATTACAATATTTTTATCAAAAATTTTGGCTAAATGATTTTGCGAATAATTCGAATAATTACTAATGCGCTACAATTTACTTATTTGGACTAATATGAGTATAAATTTAAAAAGTTTATTAACCAATGTATATATTTAAAAATAAGATATTTCAAATATGTAAATATACACTATATATTTTGTTACATGAACACATTAATTTATGTAATTCAAGTAAGTTTATCGAAATAATTTTGAGTGACACCAAGAGAAAATGGGACTTAAATCATATAAATTCTAGATGATTGAAATCCTATTTTCCTTGGGTCACTCATTTATTACTGCATTAAGCAATATATTATACGTAGTACAGGTTACATATAAAGAATAATAGTTAGTCAGTTATTTAAAGTAAGGTATTTAAGATCATGATAAAAATCGAAAATATTAATCGATGCTATCTATAATACCTAATAATCCAATAAAGTTTTAGAAATAATCAGCAAACTCTCCCATTTTGGTATTCATTCTTTCGTTGTAATTTTTGCCGATTATTGGTAATCAATTCATCATCCCGTTAAAAAATTCGAAATAAACAAATTATTAGATTAGAGTACTTTTAAAAACACTGGAGAACCTAATAATTAATTAGAGAGTAAATATTAAAGCAGAATTAAATAATAGAATATATTTGTTGTGAATGTTGTTAAATGTATTTACACATACTGTATCGTATCGTATAACTTTCAAAATTTTTTGGGTAGAAATTCACCCAGTAGTATTACACAGTTCAATACCAATTAATTAAAACAAATATATTGAATATATTTCTTAATAATACTATTTTATTATATTTTAGTCCCCCAAATATTTAAAACATCTAATTTGAATTCGAATTAAGTTATAGGCAAAATTTCTATACAAATAAAAAATATGTGAAAATATACGATAAAGAAAAGTTTTATGAATTTGGGCCATCTGGGTCATAGCCAAGAATACGCAAGGTAGAGTTCATTAAAGGATCGGTCCCACCTTCTATACCAGGAGATACATCTGATAGGTCGGTCACACCTTTAAACTGAACGACTATCGGTGGATGAATTGAATAGCTAATGATTTCTCCGGCCATAATAAGATCGACTATCTGCATATCAAGATGATAATATGGGTCAATTATATTAAGTTTTTCCAATAACTTTTTAGCACCCTTAGCTGAAACAGCATAAGCGTGTGTACACTTCGGATGTTCCGATTTATATAATACATGAATAGTTAACCCAGTTTCGATGTAACTACCCCGCTCTGAGCAATGACCGAGGTACAGCATATCCCAGTCACTAGGTAATTTACGATAAACTTCAGTCATAATATTAGTGATGTTAATTTCTATATCTATATCATCTTCAAAAATTAAACCATTTTCATATCCATTCTTGACAATTGATTCGAAGATTGAATAATGACTTAAATAACAAGCCTTAACACCTGCGCTTAAACCACTCTTGTTAAGTTTACTAATTGCTACCCTATCATATTTATTAACGGCCTTAATAATATCGAGATTCAGATGAAGATAATTTCCCAGGACCTTCATTTTCCTATATCTATCTATTCTATATTCAAGATTAATAACATAAATATGACTAAAGCCAAGGGTAGTACAATTTAAATTGTTTATGCGATTTGAATTATTTAGTTCTCTGAAATTTGGGTTAATAAGAGGATAAGCTCCTTGAATAAGGAATGTTTTGTTATAAATCAATAATATAACTAATACAAGAAATATGAGCCCAAAATAAGGCCATATATTTTTTTTCAAGGCGTATTTCATTGAAAAATTAATAAAACGTCAATACGGTGTTTCTATTATACAATATTGATAGAATGTATTTTGTTATTGCTAAGAGCGACGAATTTATATAATCTCTTTAAAAGCTATGCATAAAATTTGCGACAATAAGCACCATCACAATTGATAAAAATACACTTTTTTTTTTTTTTTAGAAATTCACATAACATATCCTGTAGTACTACTGCCCAGGAATAGTAAACATCCGCGTTTCGCATATTTACAAATAGGGTCTTTGCTTTGACAATGACCTTATGGAAAATTGTAATAACTATTCTTACAGGTCATGTTCAAGGAAAAACACAAAATATTAGAGTGTAAATAAACGAGTAATATAGTACTATATATATACATGTATTTAGACATTTTGAATAGGTATATAGGCTAAATTTCATCCAATTAACAAATTTCTTACAATTGAATTAATACAGTTTAAAGGAGGTATCGGTACATATGTATGATGTAGGAAATCTATTAGTCCTAATCACTTAACAGCTAAATAAAAATTTATCGTCTTTAGTAATATTCGAGGAAATAGATTTATGTATAACATGCATTATCTCTGTAAAAGACATTGGGCTTTTTAGATTTTCTGCATCGGTGCAGTAAATTTAGCCTCAATATTCCTATATAGAGATAATGCATAAACTGGTAGCACATAAATTATCATCTCAATAAATGAAGGATCTGGGATTCTCAATCTTTTTACATTATAAATAATACGCCAAAAATAATATGTACTTAATAATAATAACTATCATATGCATGCTGAAAAGCCGATACTGAGAATGGCATATCTCCAAAAATAATATGTACTTAATAATAATAACTATCATATGCATGCTGAAAAGCCGATACTGAGAATGGCATATCTCCAATAAATTAGTTGATCTTTATTCTATATAAAATGATTAAAGTTTTTAGTCTCGATATCACTACAGTGATAATATGATAATGTTTCCTAAACCATCAGCTTACGGAAGTTTCAAAAATGTGTGAGCAACGGTATATATGTTGTGCCTCAGATTAATGCTTGCGTCAGATGTCAACTTTTTGGCCCGCATTAACTGATCGATATTGATTGACTTAAATTAAGCCCAAATCCTTCCCAGATTCTTACCCTAACCCTAATCTAACTTAGGCCGGTTTTAATCTGACGCAAGAATTGATCTGAGGCACGACATATACATATGTGGAGATTGCAAATTCAAGATTAGTGTCGTTTTCAAAAAGTTGTAGGCTATCATGTCATAGGAATTCATGACATTTCTCAGATTACCAGTTTTCATGACCGCTCTCTCATTTTTACTAACCAGAAGCAACTGTAAAAATCAGATTAGAACGGGTCTTGAAACTCAGGATATATGACCTATATCGTGAATTCCCACACCTTTTTGAAAAACAGCTATAAGTCAAAAAAAAATTTTTAAGTTCAAATTGAACCGGAAATTTCCGATAGGCGCATAATAAAATTTCAAATTTCTGATTCCATGTTATGCAAAATGAAAAATTAACTTTGTGTGGCCTAATAAACAGATAATGAAGAAAATCTTCGAATAAATTGCTACGTATTGAGAACGATAAGGGAATATTGTTCTACTATTCGTGCATTATCTTTATAAAAGGTTATTGAAGTTAAACTTACCTCACCGAAAATCATCCGATCATACCTGCTAGGTAAACAAATTAGTAGCACGAATATCAATGCAATTATCGTGTCACCGCATTGCATCATCCAATCAGAATCAAGATCATGTGGACGAACACGAACATCAGACTCGAATTTGACATGCACTTCACTCCATACGCCCTTGGTATAAAAAGGTTAACTTCGTCATATATTTGCATATAACTGGGTTTCTCTCAAAATTAACGTTAATATTTGAATTATAAAAATAAGTCAGGCATGATGATGTTTTTGCCAAGAAATAAGATGAAAATTCTTGTGTTAGGACTCACTTTATTGACTATAGGATATTATTTAAAAAGTATCTCCCAGAATGTCTTTGAGCAGGACTCTTCATTGGATAGAGGTATTGTAGTTTTACAAATGGCCATTTAATCATAGCATCCATTTCCCATAGACTGGATACAATGTAATTTCGATAATATTAATTATTATCAATATTATTCCTAACAGACATCGATAATAAAATATCCATTAATACTATACCAAACCGACAAAAAGTGCCAAAAATATTACACTATGCATACCCCGATGATCCGGAAAACCGGCCATTCACTTTTATTCATTGGCTCGCTATGACTTCAGCGATTGAGACTATTAAGCCGGTAAAAACATTATTCCATTGCGTTCATGAACCAGAAAGTTACTGGTATCAGCTTATAAAGCCTAAAATAAGTGTCGTGAAAGCACGGATAGTTACGGAAATTTTCGGCAACCCTGTGAAAGTCCTCCAGCATAAATCAGATGTCATCCGGATGGAAGCGTTGCGAGACTATGGTGGTATTTATCTTGATCTTGATGTGTTGGTTTTTAAGCCATTCGATGATCTTCTTTATGATGACTTTACAATGGGCATTGAAATGGTTCCTAATGCTGTTGGCCTTTGTAATGCGGTGATGATCAGCAGGCCATTTGCACCTTTTCTCACTAGATGGATAGAACAATATAAATACTTTGACGACAATGACTACAATTATCATTCAGTCCTGTTGCCTTATAATTTGTCAAAAAAATATGAAGATGATATCCATGTTTTAAATGAAACAGCTTTTTTTTGGCCGACTTGGGTTGAAGATCATTTGAAATGGGTGCACACATCAAATGAATATGATTTCTCCAACCAGTATGCCTACCATATGTGGTTCACAAGAGGTTACAATAAGTACTTACGACGTTTAACTCCAACATTGATTAGAAATGTGGAAACGAGTTTTAATAAAGTAGTCAGGAGGTTTTTAAATTATTTACCTGTCAACTTTAATGAAGAGATCTTTAAACGAGAAATGATTGGAGAAAACCGATAAGAAAGATGATGAAGATATCTGGCCTGGGTCATATTAAGGAAAGGTGGATTTTGAAAAACACAATGAATATAGTTTGTAAATAAATTTAATTTGCAATGTTTGCTTGCTCGGCCGCCCACGTATTATAGATCAAGCAATTTGTACATAATTTGTATCTGTCGCAAATAAATATTTGGCTCCGGCCATACATATAATGATATGCACGCCCTATGCAGTAAAAGAGGTGGTTAAGTTAGGTTAGTAATTAAAGATGTAAAGAGTTTAAAGATACTATAAATAAAGCAATAATATCATAGATATTATCTTGTACGATTTAAATCATCTAAAGACATTTGAAACTTTTTATTCCGGTTTGCAAAATTCTGTTTTCTCCCTTAAAAATATCAAAAAAAAAAAAAATCGTTCAATTGTTAGGTGATTATTGGTGATTTCTGATTTCTTAAACCTACTCCGATATTGCCATATGGAATTATTAGGGAAAATTACAAATAAGGGCCCAAAAATGAAAAAATAAAACAAGCAAGCGCCCAAAATCAAAATTATTACATATAGAGACCAAAATTAAAAATTATTACAAGTAAGGAACTATCTGATCTCCGAACAAAGTGTAACTTGCGCTTATTAGCTTTCTACGAGTTCGATTTGTCACGCAAATTTAGATCATGTGACTGGTGCAACGATGTAGGCCAATCAAATTCTGAATTTGGCTAATATGACCAAATTTTGGTTCATGAGAAATGGGTTAACTTAAACTAGGTTCTAGTTCAAGTGAACTCAAATGTAAGCTAACCTAATAACCTAAGCCTGAGATGAGTTAACTTGGACCACATTCTGACTCAAGTGAGCCTGGATTAACTTGAACCAAATTCTGGCTCAAGTCAATCTGAAGTTGGTTAACTTTAACCAAATTTTGGTTCAAGCGAGTTAATTTGAACCAGATTCTGGTTCGAATGTACCCGAAATGGGTTAACTTGAAATTTGACTGGTCCACATCGTTCCACCAATCACGTAATCTAAATTTAGGAAGCTAATAACTGATAAGCACAAGTCACGTGACATTCACTTGGCTCGGAGACCGGACAGGTCCTTGTAATATTTTTTTCATTTTTGGGCCTCCCCAAATTATTATTCGGAGCAGTAATCACTTAAAAATCACCGGTAAACTAGGGCTGTGAATCGATTCTAAAAATTAGAATTGATAATCGAATCCCCAAAATCGTTTTAGAATCGATGATCGAATC